GAAGGGGAAGGCAATATACAGTAAGAGGCAGGTTGGCAGAAGAATGGAGGCACAGGAAGACATGGTGAGGAATGCAGGAGTTAAAGGGAAGAGAGTTAAATACTCTTATATACATAATCTTGCAATAATGGTGACCGGTGTGTAGATGCTTGGATAGACATGCAGACTGAACACATGTGAGAGGGCAAGTAGAGTCATACCCACAAATGTATCCAGGTTTTGAAAAGATATTTGTACATGGGTATTTACCTTGCTGCAAATATATCTCTTAATATGGTAGAGCACACTGGGGACAAAGTTATGAAAACTTGTTGTTGTTGTTAAGTGTTATCGAGTTGGGTCCAACTCATAGCAATCCTGTATAGAGTTCCCAAGGAACAGCTAGTGAGTCTGAACGGCTGACCCTGGAGTTCAAACTGACCTTGCAGTCTAGCGCTTATCCTACAGCGTCACCTCAGGATTCTGAAAACTTCTTAGACATTACCAAACACCTTGATGGAATGAATCGCTGGATCTGGGGCTCAAGACCATAGTGTCAGGGGACAGCATTGTCAATTGGCATAACCTAGTCCACAAAGACAAAGTTCTACATCTGAATTTGGTGAGTAGCGATTAGGGTCTTAAAAACTCATGAGCTATCATCTAAGGTGTAACTATTAGCCCAATTGGCTAATGAACAAAGCAAACAGAGTCTCCGTGACCCTGATACCAGAAGAACTAGATGGTGCCCTGAAAGGGCACAAATCACATTAGAAGGTCTGCATAATGTGGAAGAAAATATGGAACAAAATTCAAAATCATAGAAAAGACCAGATTTACTGGTCAGAAAGAGACTGGTGGAACCCTGAGACCATGGCCCTTTATCACCCGTCAGGACTGGACCTGAACTCACCCCCATGACTCAATTTTCAGCCAACTAATAAATAGATGGAGCCCTGATGTGGTGCTGTGGGTTAATGCGCCAGACTGCAAAGCCATTTGAACTGCAAGGTTGGCAGTTCAAGCTCACCAACTGCTCCTCGGAGACCCTATTCAGGGTCACTATGGGTCGGAACCGACTTGATGGCACTTAACAACAACAACAATAAATAAAATATATAGGAGGACAACAACATAACTGAGGTACACACACTATAGAATGGTCAACCATTTGAGATAAAAAAGGCAGCATTTACCCAAAAGGACAAAGTTCAAAAGAATTGGGAAAGAAGGAGGAAGAGAAACAAGAAACACCAGGAGGAAGTGGGATAAATGATGTTCCATTGAGATGATTATAATCAATGAGTTGAAATGGGCGTAGGATTTGATGAATGTAAAACCGATGATCTGCTCTGTAAACCTTCACCAACTTCACAATAAAAAGTTTAAAATAAATAAGTAAACATCTACTGAATTGATAAATGCATCTGTCAAGAAAGGAATCTGCCATACTAAATATTTCTGAGTGTCCCATTATCATTCATTACTTTGGTCATGATTATTGCTCACCAGCAAATGACAACAGATAAAAGGGTTTAAGAAAAGTGCTTGCAAGGACAGTGTCCTGCTTCATTTGGCCTAAATAGTGTAAATGGGAGCCCCAATGTGGTACTGTGGGATGAAGCAGTGAACCGCAAGTTTGGTTTGAACCACAGGGTCAGAAGTTCAAATTGGAAAATTTTCCACATTGCTCCTTGGAAACCCTATACAGGGTCACTATGAGTGGGAACCAACTTGACGGCACTTACAACACCAAAGATAAGCACTGGACTGCTAATCACAAGGTCAGCAGTTCAAACCCACCAGCCGGTCCTTGGAAACCCTACACAGGATCTTTATAACTCCTGGAACTGACTCGAAGGTACTTAACAACAAGAAAGACAAGAAGACCATGAAGGTAATGTTTCCTGTGAATTGGACTAGGGCTGTGGTACAGCTTGGTGGGACAGTTTGGGCTGGCTGGTCCTGAGGAGCTGATTTTGAGCAGCCAGGGAAGACCTCCAGGGGGAGGTGACATTGATCCCAGACCTGAAGGAAGCCTGAGACCTGGTCCAGCTTAGTTGAAGGGGAACGTTCTTCTAAGGGCAGAGGGACTCAAGACTGCAGATGAGGAAGGTAGAGTGGGCGGAGGCTCAGGAAGAACTGGGGCTAGGTCCCAGGAGTGGCATGGGTCAAGTTGGTCTGGGGTGGTAGGCTGTAGCAGGTCCATTTTCCTGGTGCTTGGGAGATGCAAATGTTGGGAACAATAGGGCCTCTGTCCCCAGGGCCATTTGTGGCAGAGCCTGGGCTCCAAAGAGACATAGCTCCTCCACCTCTGCCATGGTGAGACTTGGTTCTGGGATAGCTCCAGGCACAGAAACCTGTTCAGCCCTGGGGTTCAGGGCTCTGGGCAGGGTGAGGCACCCAAATGCCCTGGCTAGCCCTTTACTTCTCTCCCTGGCTCTTTCCAGGACAAGTTCAATGGGAGCAAGCCCCGGTGAGTACTTTAGCTCCTGTCTTTCCTTTCTGCCTCTCTGTTGTCTCTCTGGTGATGCCCTCTCCATCTCCTGAGACCATACCTATGCCTCTACTTTGGTCAGCCCCAGGTCTCTCCCAGTCTTGGTTTCCCTGGGCACCAGTTCATCTGCTGCCGTGGTCTCAGGGCCACTGTGCTTCACAAGTCCAGGGGACAAGTCCAGGGGACAACACCCACGTGGTCATGTATGTGGATGTCCTGCAGTTGTGCAGGGTCTGGCTGACACAAACTCAAGGGTCTAGAGTCTTGACTAGAGTCTGATTGCAGGTCGAAGCCACCCCTTCCTCCCCCCAGATGTGTGGGTAAGTGACACTGGGCAAAAGGGGACCCAGCAAACAAGCACCCCCCCAAGTTAGGTCTCGAGTGGCTCTCGACATTCATTTTCCATCACTGATAAGTCATGGCAACCTAGCTCTCCCACTTGGTCAGAATTAGGGGTGCATAGGGTGGGGAACTGCCAGCTAGTTGGGAGGTCCCCTGTTTCCAAAATGCTTTTCATTGCCACTGCTGAAATGTTGGAAATGCCTATCACGAGTGGCTCCTCTGAGATGAAGCACCAAAGCCCACTATCAAAATACAGATGGTTTATTTTAGTGAAGAGAGAGGGCCATGCACTGTACTAGAATGGGCCAGCGGGGAGAGGTCAGGCCAGTTTGTCCTGTCCAGATTCCCCAGATTGGAGAGAAGATGCTCCCAGTCCATCTCCTCTGCCTGCTCCAAGGAGCTGGAGACACATGGTGAGTCCAGCTGCTGAGGCCTGAGGTGGGGGAGGGGGAAGCAGCACCCACCACCACTTCTGGGCCTCCTCTACCCACACCTGTCTCCAGCATCAGGATGAAGAAGATGAAGAGGAGGATAAATATGAGCTGCCCCCCAGTGAGGCTCTGCCCGTTAACATAGCCCCTGCGCATCCTCCTGACTCTGACTCTGAGGACGATGAAGTGTACCTGGGTGAGGGCTGGGAAGTTGGAGGCAGGGAGGGTAGGCCCCCCACCCCCACCCAGAAGTGAGCCAGTGCTGGGGCCTTGGCTGGGCAGAGGGAAAGAGAAAGGGGGATAGAGGGAGGGAGGAAGGAGGACGGATGAAAAGTGGGGGAGGGAGAAGAGCCTGGAGGGACCTGTAACCAAGGTAACTGAGGAAGCAGGAAATTCTCCCCTTCGGAGAGCTCTCTAAACTTCTACAGGGCACCGGTAGGGTGCCGGGGGAGCCCAGCCTTGCGCTGGCATCTTAGCCCCAAGGCCCAGGCTTGTCCTTGAGGTGGCTGGGAAGTGGTTGCCTCTGGTTGTCATGGAGACGGGGCGGGCTGTCGGGAAGCCGGTGTGCCTCAGGCTTGAGGGAAGGAGACAAGCAAGATGAAAGGAAGACTGGGGGAGGAGGGGCAGGAGGAAAGAGGGACTCTACTGGGGAGGAACCCCTACCACCATCCATAATGCATGAGTCTTTTCCAGATCCCTCTGGTCTCCAGAGCTCATCCAAGTCACCGCTTCCGCCACCACCTCCACTGCCCCTCCTGCCCCAGTCCCAGCCCTACATGGTGAGACCTTCCCTCGGTGTCTCCGCGTGCATTCTCTTGCCCACTGGCCCCACCCCGAGCTACCGTTTCCCAGTGAATACCTCTCAGCACTTAACAACAACAAACCTCTCAGCCGCATCTCATTTGCCAGGCTCTGCACATTTGCATTCCGGAGGCCCCACAGCCCGGAAGCTCCTAATAAGAGCCGGAGCCCAGTTAGTAATACTAAGGCCTTATCTTGACCGCAGAGTCCTGGTGTGGCACTGCGGGCTAATGCGCTGGAGTCGGTTTGAATCCGCTTTCATCATCTATTTTATTGGACTAAAGAGAAAAACAGATTCACAACAAAGAGTGTGCGTAGGGGTGAGGAGTCTCTCTACCTTTGTATTGGCACATCTCCTCTTGTGTTATTGTTGTTGTTAGGTGCCATCGACTCGGTTCCGACTCACAGTGGCCCTGTATAGAGTTTCTGAGGAGCAGCTGGTGGGTTTGAACCACCTTGTGGTTAGTGGTCCAGTGCTTATACTACAGCGCCATAGTGGGTTTTGAAAAATCTGTACAGATACACATGCTATCTATTACATCCTAGGACTCCCTGGTGATACAAACCAAAAAACATTACTAATCAAAATGTTGGGGCAGTTGAATCCACCCAGAAGACAGTCCTGGCCATCTGCTTCCCAAAACTCCACTGAGTAGTTCTGCTCTGACTCAGATTGGTGTCCCCTTGACTTTCCTGATGCCTCAGTTTCCCTCTGTCTTTTTCCCTTCCCCATTCCTTCTCACTGGCCCCACCTATTGTGCTCACAGGTAAAGCCATCACTGAGCCTGCAGGAGGCGCTGAAGCTGGGACGGCACTTCTCCAGGCGAGGTAATGGGATTCACACTCCCCGGGACCGGCATCCTTAACCCTACAGTGGTAGAGCTGAGTTTACTCGTTCACTGCATCCTCCCCAGCAGTTACCTGACAATCCTTCCTAAGGTGGGCAGCTCTGGTGGCACTGTGTCCAATCAAACAGATGAGACTGAGGCCCTGAGAGATGAACTGCCTTGTCTGAGCGCATACACACTCAGAGTCCCTAACTCTTGGGCTCTATTCTGCACCTGGTGGTCTCTAGGTCTGGATGAAAAGGTCTAAAGGCAATCTACTCCGCCCAGAGGACCCCCACTATAGAGACACATCTGAGTGTCACCCCTTCACCCATGTGGCTATCATTTTCTAATTCCATTATGGCCATTGCTGCCCAGAGCCTCTCCCCATGAATTAGTTTCATCTAAGCCCTTTGTCCCTGCTATTCTGTGACTGCTGGTCCTCCCCTTTCCCTTATAGAGCAGAGGGAACCTGCCAGAATGGTGAGCAACCCCTTTCTCCACCCCCCACCCCTTACATTCTAGGATTCTCCTTATGAGGTTGGTAGGACAGGGTGGGGAGAGCTGCCCCAAGAAAGAGGCCCCAAGTGGAGCCCCGCCCCCTTTGCCACAGGCCCTGGGAGGGTGATAGCTAGTTGTCCCTCTGAGCTTTCTGCCCAGGGCTGACAGGGGAAGGCCTTGCCACTAGGTCCCCCTGGATCCCTACATTTGCAAAGAACTCAGGCTTGTGGGCACCTCTGAAGGGGAAGGTGCTCAAGGGGTGCCGCCTTGTAGGCAAAGTTGGATCATGGAAGCTGGCTCTCAGAGAGCGGTCCACCTTGTGAGGAGGGCATTGGATGCCTGGAGCCCTCCCACCAAGTTATGGCTCTCCCCTCCTACCTTCTGGCTGCCTAAACTGAACCCCCAAACCATGAAAAAAGCAAAGCCAATTCCAACTCATAGTGATCCTGTATAGGATTTGTGAGACTGTAAATCTTTACAAGACCAGACAGTGTCATCTTTCTCCTGAGGAGGGGCTGGTGGGCTTGAATCACCAATTTAGCACTTGGCAGCCCCACCCATAAACGTTGTTAAGTGCCCTCCAGTCTGTTCCAACCCATAGCAACCCAGTATAGGGTTTCCAGGGAGCAACTGGTGAGCTTGTACTGCCAACCTTATGGTTCAAACGACTTTGCAATTCAGCACATTAACCCACAGTGCCACACTAGAACTCCACGCCTTACCACAGGGCTGGTCAAATCCATGGTTACACCTTTAGGTGTCAAGTCCTCCAGAGCAACCTAATGAGAGCATCTATCTGGAATGCACACCTGACCCAGGTGAGCCCCTTCATCGCTGGGCCCAGACCCATTCTGCTCTTGAGGTTCTCAGATGCCCACAGCTTCTTCCTCTATCTCCTCTCACCAACCCCTCAAACACACGCAGGCGTTCTTCATACACTCACATGGATATCCACCCTTAACCTCCGTCTGTGGTTCTACTTCACAAGGGAGGGGCTTCCCAGCTGTTGCTGCCACAACAGCATCTCTCCTGGTTGGAAGGACTCCCCAAAAGCCCAGGCTGTTCTCAGTCACTCCCTGGCCAGCATGGATTCCTCGCCTGGGTCCTATCCAAGCTCAGTCTGCCCTCTCTATTTAGTTGCAGCCCTGGCTCGGACTCTGAGCTCCCAAATTCTGGTGCCCCCAGTACCTCTGTTAAGGACATCAGTGGTGCCCAGGTGAGTGCTCCACCAGGTGGATACCCACAGGAAGAGAAGACAGACAAAGAGAGAGAAATACACACACACAGAGAGAGAGAGTGAGAGGGTGTGGGATGCTGGGTTCATTGGGCTCCTTCTCTGGAAGGAGGTAACAGACCCTGAGTTCCCTTCCCAAATGTGCTTCCCACAGGTCCACCGCAGCCCTGCAGGAAGCTCAGAATGTAAGAGGCTGGTGGTAAGGGGAGATAGGAGCTGGGTGAGTGGGGAGGAAGAGAGGAAGGGTGAGGATGGGCTTCAGGTTGAGGGGAGCAGGTCTTCAGGGCTCTGGCTCCTCTGACCAGACCTTCTGTGTCCCAGGAAGCAGCAGATGCCACTTTTAGAGGTAAGTCCAGGCATCTTTGGCATGAGCCCACCCTACCCACAGACACCCTCCTAGACCCTCAGGCCCTGCTTTGTTGAAGGGGTCCTTGCAGCTCCCACTCCTGCTGAACTCAGGCCTCAGGGGAAACTCTTGGCCATTTTACAGAGCCTCCACCAATGCAGGAAACTCCCAGTTTGTACCCCAAGATCACCCCTCATTTGAAGGTCACACCAGTCTTAGGTGGTAGATGCTACCAGCGTAGCAGGTCTGAGAAGAGAGGTGAAGCTCTGGGTGTCCTGCTTTGAGTTTCAGCCCCAATCTCACCCTCATCTGTCCCCACCTTCATAGCTAATCCCTTTGCCTAATCCCCTCCCAGCACCAGTGCTGTAATCTGCTTCTTTCAGCAGGAAGGAGACCCTCTATTTCCTCATTAGCCACCACCAGGAACACCTCAGCCTCTGAGGTGAGGAAGGGCTGGGAGATGGCTGAGGGAGCAGGGCTGTGGGAGCATCGTACTTGTCTGTAGTCCTCTTGAGTTGAGGTATCCACCATTAAGTAGCACATGTGAGCAACATGGTCGGGCCCCAACCCTGGGTTCTTTGTTTGCCACTTCCTGCTCAGAGGTGCTTGGCCACCTTTCTGAGTGGGCTGTGTGTGCATATACAGGACGACAGCCTGTTGGAACAGCCTTGGTATTCAGAGAACTGTGACCGCCATGCTGTTGAGAATGCCCTCCTCCGACTGCAAAAGGTAGTCACCTGCAGAACCTCCCAGGCCTTTGCTTACAGTTTGCTGGATGGCTGAGAGGACAGGAAGGGGGGTATGGTCTGGCCATCATGGCCAGGGTTGGAGACAGGCACGTGGAGGATGGGATTGACTTAATTAATGGGTGGGGGTCTCCTCACAGGATGGGGCCTACACTGTGCGCCCCAGCTCAGGGCCTCAGGGTTCCCAGCCCCTTACCCTGGCAGTGCTTCTCCATGGCCATGTCTTCAATATTCCCATCCGGCGATTGGACAGTGGGCACCACTACGCCTTGGGACGGGAGAGCAAGAACCACAAAGAGGTGAGTACCAGAGGAGGCAGCATCCTCAAGGGCAAAGTGGGTACAGAAGAGTGGGTACCCTGTGCCTGGCTAAAGACATTTGCCTATGGGGAAACCCTCATTTTGTATTTCTCTGTCATCCCCACCCACTAGAAGATAGTGGGTGGGGATGACAGAGACCAGAGTCCCAAACTCCTTCCCAAAGTCTGCACTTTGGGAAGAGGCCCACCCTGGTCTGGGGGAGGTAGCTTCTGGCATAACTCTATCTACACAGGGCTGAGGTTGGGAAAAGGGCAGGACCAGGGGAGTCCTGATACCTGACTACCCCAAGCGTTCAACTCTGTACCCAGCACTTACTAGGGTACAAACTAGTGACATCATCACTTACCTCCCTACCCGGAGGGCCACAGAAAAGAGGCACATTCCCAAAGTCAGTGTGATCTGGGTTTGGGATTACAACATTCTGGCCAACACCATGCCCTCAGGGACAGACACAAGGGAAGTGGAAAATAGCCGTGGAACTTCTGTGGGGCAAGCAGGAAGGAAAACATTTTTTAAATGTCAGCAACCCTCCCTGGCCAGAGTCCCACAGTTTCCGCAAGAAGCCTCTCTTATCTTGAAGCTGAGGGTCTCACTGACGGCCCTGCCTCTGTGCCTCCCTACCCAGATCTTCTCCTCTGTAGCTGCCATGGTTCAGCACTACACACAGCATCCCTTGCCCCTGGTGGACAGACACAGCGGCAGCCGGCAGCACACCTGCCTGCTCTTCCCCACCAAGCCCTGACACAATGGTTGGATGTGACCCCTATCCCTCTCCACATCTTTGAATGTCTTCTTTTCCTTCTCAGTCTTCACCACTTCAATTCTCCCCATTCTTTGCCCACTCCCCAACCCTGCAGGGCCTGGTTGAGAGGCCTTGGTAAAAATTGCCCAGAGGGGGTGAGAGTCCCTGTGATTCAACCCCATGACCATCCAGGGCCTGGCCCTGCCTCTTCCAGCTGCATCTCCAAAGCTGGGGACAGGGGGCAGGCAGGATGCTCTGGGTGGGCATGGTGATAATTTAAAGCGATCACCCTCCTCAGGGAAGCTGAGTCTTAGAGGGACTGTATTGTATAAGCACTCTTGAACAGCAAAGAGAACGCACCCACATTCTCTTGGAGCTTAGCACAGACCTGGCATATGGGAGGAATTTGGTTGCCCTGCATTATCTCATGCTTTCAATAAACATTTGTTGAATTAATTCTTGAATGTGCTGAGTCAGACAGAGGTGGTCTCATGAGATCCCATGGTTCTCAAGTGTCCCAGGACACAACTGGTGCTTGGGAATGGAGCTTCCTTGGGCCAGCCCAGGATAGGAAAGACCAGCCCAATTTCTGTGTGCCTTCCTCCCCTTACCCCCGACCCCTCAAGTGTGACTCTTGCTTTTAGATAATCTGTGCCAAGGAGGAGGGAGGCCAGCCCTGGGTTACTGATTTGGGGGAGGGAGACTCAGGGCTGCCTCTGCCACCTCATTAAATGATGAGGATTTGTTGTTGCTGTTGTTATGTGCCATCAGGTCGGTTCAGACTCATAGTACCCTGTATAGGGTTTCCAAGGAGTGGCTGGTGAATTTGAACGGCTGACTTTTGGCTTCAAACCTACCTTATGACCTTAGGAGTGAGTGCAAATCCTACAGCGGCACAGCAGGATGGAGCCAGTTAACTCGTTGACAACATCTAGGAGTCCTGCCTGGTGTGGCGATGCAGGATAATGCACTGGACTGCAAGATCGGCGGTTCAAATTCACCATCTGCTCTCGGAAACCTTATTATACAGGATCGCTATGAGTGGGAACCGAGTCAATGGCACTTAAACAAAGACAACAACAGTTTATTGTTCAGTGTTCATCTCGCAAGAGAAAGGCTTGATTTTGTCTAGGGAAGAGGAGTCAGGGGGACCACAAGAAGGCACCTGGGTATTAAACACACCAGTGCTAGAATCAAAAGCTAATGTGGGTAGGTGGTTTTACGGCCCAGCAAGGGATAAGCCCGTGTGGATGGAGTTCTGAGAAGGCCTGGTCGACAGAGCCAGAGGTTAGGAACAGTTGGCTATGGGATGAAGCTCCTTGTTCCCAGGCATCCAAGCGGAACTGCCGGGGAGACTCCTGGACTCCGGAGGGCTAGATCCACGGCCGGCCGAGAGGCTACGGGAGCGGGGAGAGCGGGCGACCGTACCCGAGGAGGCCGGGGCCCGGTACCCCGGCTTGGCAGAGGCGCTGGGTGGCTCCGAGCCCTGGCGCGGCGCCCGGAACACCCCGTGCCGGAAGCGCATGTGACTGTGACTCCGCAGAAGCCGGGCGCGCGGGGGAACAAAGGCTGGCCCTGCAGTGGCCTGCCCGGCGTCCCCGCCCGGTCCGCGCTCTGGTGGCACGAAGGGCCCGGAGCCTCACTATCCCCCTGGGGCTGCACGACTCTAACCCGAACATATCCCTTGCCGCCGGTCCAGGCCCTGGCTAGGCTGAGCGTTGGATCCTACGGAGTTCCAGGGTCTGAGGCGCGGAGCCCCAAGGAGATGGGAGGGAGGGAATGTATCCGAGACCACTGAAATGTAATTGCAAGAGGCTGGGTGGGCGAGATGGGGGTCCTGAGGTGGTTTGCTGAGTGTTGACTATCGCCTGAGTGGGAGTCCTGCTTGCGTCACTGCTACATCTCGCAAATCACCCTTTCAATTTCCTCAATCCGCTTCATTTCCAGGTGAAGATAATCATCTATGCGTCATAAGGTCACATGGTTAAGAGGTTTAAGTGAGGTTCCTACGTGTGTGATGCGGTGAGGACTGTGCCTAGCTTGATGGGAATTCGGGTCAATTAGCTGTCACTTTCAAAGTCACAACAAAAGTGTAGTTCCAGACCTGGGTCTAGAAGAGGCAGATGGAGGAGAGGACAGGGAGGAGCAGCTGAAGCGAGGAGATAAGGAGACTCCAAGACAGAGGTATCTCTCAGTCTAGTTAGCCAGCGGAGCCCTCTCTAGATCCTCAGGCAGCAAACAACCTCTCTCTCACACAGCCTGACCCAGGCCTGAACTCCTGACTGTCCAGAGTGGGACCTTGAGTCCCTGGGGTGAGCCTCAGGGACAAAGTCAGGTCTCTTTATCCCCTACAAGATTTGTAGATTTGATTTCACTTCTAGGAGCCCTCCAGCCTATGACCACAAAAGTTCTGGGGCATGCTTCTATTGAGCCCCCAATTTATCTAGCCTTGAAGTCATATGGCCTGTGGGTGAAGTCATGTGACTTGTGGTTATGGTGGGGTGGAGGAACAGGGGTGCATCTACAGAAAATAGGCCCTATGGCAAGTAACTGAGATTGTATCTCTGTCCAAACGATTCGATTCATACCCATCTTTTTGATAGTGATTTAAAAGATCACCATCCACATGGGGTCCTGGTGTGGCACTGTAGGCTAAGCCTGTTGTTGTTGGGAAATGCCATCCAGTCAGTACTGACTCAAAGCACTCCCACAGAGCTGGAGCCCTGGTGTGGTGCTAACCGCAAGGTCAGCGGTTCAAACCCACCAGCTGCTCTTTAGAAACCCTACAGGGTCGCTAACAGTCAGAACTGACTGGATGGCACTTCACAACAACAGTATGGTTCAGGGCAGACTGTGGTCTTGCTCTGCTGAGCGTAGAAAGTTGTTGTTGTTGTTGTTAAGTGCCATCGAGTCGGGTCCGACCCATAGCGACCCTATACAGGGTTTCGAGGGTGTAAATCTTTACGGGAGTAGAAAGCCTCATCTTTCTCCCGCGGAGCGGCTGGTAGTTTCGAACCGCTGACCTTAAGGTTCGCAGCCCGATTCGTAACCACTACGCTACCAGAGCTCCTTTGAGCGTAGAAAGAGAGGACCAATATTCATCCATGAAAGCCAGGAAGGTACAGTTGTAATTTTCAACTGTAAAATAAGTGTAACAATGTGTTAAATAAAAGATTAAGGAGCTTGGCTTTGATTTTTGAGCTGATATGATGGTTGTTGTTGTTAAGTGGCATCAAGTTGGTTCCAACTCATAGCATTGCTGAGTACGGTTTCTGAGGAGTGGCTGGTGGGTTTGAACCACCAACTGTGCAGTTAGCAGTCCAGTACTTATCCTACAGCACCATACCAGGACTCCATCTCTGTGAGGGGCCTTGACCCACAGAGGCTCTCAAATAATCATTTTAGCACAACTAGCACTAAAACCTGTGATGGCTTATAGAAACTGCTCAGTGGCACCCAGGGCACATGCTATTCCTGCCATACTTTAGCTATGCCTCTGGTGGGGGAACAGAGGTCAAAGCACACAGTGCTAGAGTTAATGGCCCAACAGGGACTCTGCTTTGCCCCAGCTGGGGGATTAACATCAAGGAATTACAACCATTCCTTTCCTCCCTGGGGGAAAAAGGGGAGGACACCCCTGGGGGCACACACACACACACACACACACACACACAGCTCAGTTTGGTGAGCAACATGGCTTAACAGGTGCCTCCTCAGTCTGCAGATCTGCCTTTAGATGTTCTTGGAATCCTTCCCTCCCCTCACCCCCAACCCCTTTCTGGGCTCAGGTACTTACAGCCTCTTGCAATCGTTTTTCACTCCCAAGTAAAGGGTCATCTATTACCCACTACTATGTATTCAGAGGATTTCTGGTGTGGTGCTGTAGGATAAGCACTGGGCTACAAACCATGAGGTCAGCAGTTCAAATCCAGCATCTGCTCTTCGGAAACCCCACACAGGGTCACTATGAATCAAAAGCAACTCTACAGTACTTAACAACAACTATGTATTCAGAACCTGGACTACCCAGTTGTTGTTGTTAGGTACCATCAAGTTGGTTCTGACTCATGGCGAACCTACGTAAAACAGAATGAAACATTGCCAAGTCCTGCATCATCCTCACAGCTGTTCAGTTTGAGCCCATTGTTATCAATTTTGTTGGGGGGTCTTTTTTTCGCTGACCCTCCACTTTTCCAAACATGTTGCCCTTCACCCGGGAGTGGTCCCTCCTGAAAGCATGTTCAAAGTACGAGAGTCGAAGTCTTGCCGTTCTCACTTCTAAGGAACACTCTGACATACTTCTTCCAAGACAGGTTTATTTATTCTTCTGGCAGGCTATGGTACTTCAACATTCTTCTAAAACACCATGACTCAAATGTATCGATTCTTCTATGGTCTTCCTTATTCACTGTCCAACTTTCACATGCATATGAGGTGATTGAAAATACAATGTATGTGGCAAATATTTGCTGAAAGATTATTGAATAGGTCAAATCTACCCCAGATTCCACTAAAGCTGATAGCATTTTTGTATCAGAGGCTTCTTTGTAAGAGAAAAGTCCACTCCAGTGCTGTACAATAGAGCTTTCTGTGATAATAGGAACATTTATATCTGCCTTTTCCAGTACTGTACCCACTAGTTACAGAAGTGAATGAGCACTCTAAATGTGACAAGTGTGGCTGAGAAACTGAATTAAAATCTTGTGCTTGCTGCTTCGGCAGGACATATACTGAAATTGGAACAATGCAGAGAAGATGGCAAGCAGATTCATGAAGTGTTCCATAGTTTTCGACAGAGTAAATTTGTATATGGGTATTTCCCTTTGCTGCAAACACACCTATGAATGTGGTGGATCATGTTGTCATTGTTGTTAAGTGCCGTTGAGTCGGTTCCAACTCATAGTGACCCTAAAGTTCAATTCAATCTTGCAGTCCAGTGCATTAACCCACAGTGCCACACCAGGACTCCAGGGAACAAAATGATAAACACTTCTTGGACA